TCTAAATTAATCTTCAATAAGCAATGCTACTTTATGTTGGGAAATGCTCGATCTTTCCCGCTTCGTGAAGTTAAGATAGACACTTAAGAACTGATGTAGTAGTGAGAACACAAGAGTTTATAATTCTCCAAAATGGAGATTCTTCCACTATATAAAAGAATAGTAGGATTACAAGAATATGTTTACAAAATTGACTCACACTATGGTGGCTCACTCAAGCTTGAGGGTTAGGACTTCCCAAGCTCTACACTCTCACACTCTAAGAGACTTCTCACTTTACAAGTGGATTGTTTTCTTCACTTTTGATGGTTGGAAGTGAAGGGGATTCTCCCTATTTATAGTACTCCTCCATGGGTAGTTTTAGGATTCTAGAAACTTCAACATCTCTAGAAGTTTCTCCATACACTTCCATCTTCTTCTATAACCTTCCATAAGGTTCTAGATGGCTTCACACTTCTCTAGAATATTCCAGAGGCTTCCACACTCTTCCATAGTCTTCCATAAGCTTCTAGAGAGTTCTACACTTTTCTAGAGTTCTCCGGATCATTCTAGAAAATTCTTGACTTCTCTAGAGAGCTCTAGAAGTTTCTAGAATCTCTCCAATTAAGGAAGGAACCCAACACTTTATAATTTCTAAGTAATTGTTTTTTTTGAAATGGGGTACATGAACCTTTTTGGGGTGGACTCGTTCCTCTAGCAGTCACCTAATTAATTTGAAAGGATCATTTTGAGTGCTTATTCGAAGCTTAGATGATAAATTTTTTTAAAATATTCCCAATTTAACTGTCATTTAATAGTCGATTTTGACAGAGAAATATTTAGGTAATACTTCGTTTTTGGGTTTAAATCAATTGACTGTTTACCGCCCTATGTAGTATATACTTCTCCTCCCGTTTTAAAATGTTTCTTATTTCTGTTTACGAGGTTTGACCAACTTTATATTCAATTTAATTTTTTTAAATTTTTTTTATAAAATTTAAAAAATAGAATTTATATATTTAAAAATTACATCAAAAGCTCTACAAAACAAGATATGACAAGACTACATTATTTTATCATATAGCTGACAAAAATAAGTAAAGAGAGTGGTTAAAGTTTGACCGTCTAAATAGTAACTGGAAAAAACATTTTAAGACGGAGAAAGCAATAAGGTAGGACAAGTCTTGGTTTGAAATTGGTGGTTCCAAAACCGGACTGAAACCAGGAGGGGACAAGAGTGGGGGATTAAATCGAGTGCAAAATGTTAAAACTAAATAAAGATTCAGGAACGAAGTTAGTAAGATGCGAGCAGAAAGATAAATCTATGGTAGACATAAGGTCTGCACAGTTTTGTGCAGACTTATAATTGAGGATGGTAAAAATGTTTATTACTCGGATAAACATATTGTTTTTGTAAAAATAAAATTAAAAAAAAATACTCCTTCCGTCCACAAATAAACTTCCCGTTGTGCGTTACGATGTTTGACTTAAGTTATTTTCAAATCATTTTATATGAAAAATGATGTAAAATTTGAAAATAAAAATTACATATTAAAAAACTATATCAAAAGATCTAAAAAATCAAAGGTGACATGACTATATTATTTTATCGAATAAGTGACGAAACTAGGCTAACAAAGTGAATAAAGTTTGACCATGTGAATAGTGAACGGGAAGTTTATTTGTGGACGGAAGAAATATGATATAAGACGATCCACAAATGGTAGTGTTGGTTTTTAGGTCCATTTCTAAAAATAATAGAAATACAAAATAAAAATTGCAGAATGACACAGAGTATATGCATAATGACATGAGAAATTCAATGAAGAAATGAAAAAAAACATAAATTAAAATACTTTTGCTAATGTATACTGAAGTAATATCTAGTAATACGAGTAGAATTTAATCCATAAAATATTATTTAATTTTTACATATTATACCAGATCGTTGACTTCGAATTGAGGCTATGTGTTACTGAGTAATATTAAGGATTAAAGTGCTACATGAGAGAAAAGGTATTTTGTTTAAAGAGTAAATGTCCAAAACAATTTATTTTAATAAGGCATTTTTCTAAATTAATCCCCTGTACACAATAATTATCAACATAATCCTTTGTAATTGAGATATATTCTCTAAATAGTCTTCAATAAAAAATGCATATTAAATGACAGTTAAATATAGGGTATATTTGTATTTTTAATCATTTAAACTATGAATAAGACTTCAAAATAGTCCTTTCAAATTAAGTAGGTGACTGCTAGTGGAATGAGCGTACGAGAGTAGAAAATATTTACTTAAAAATTATCGGTTTGGAAAAATAATTCATTGTAAAGGAGCATTTCAAGAACATATATTAAGTTTAGACGATAGAAAATGCCAAAACATCTTCTATTTGACTGTCATTTAATAAACATTTTAATTAAAAGACTATTTAGAGAATGTATCTCAATTATAAAAAACTACGTTAATAATTACGGAGTATTATTTATCGAGGACTAATTTTAAAACATATTACTTGGTCCGTCCCTGAGTGTTTGTCCACTTTTGACTTTTGGAACTGTTCATCTAAACACTTTGACTCATCAAATTCTCTCAATGTGTAAGCCTAAAAGTAGTCATGTGTGATTTTGTTTGGTTCGTCTTAATAGATAGATTATTAATATATAATTTTTATAATTTTTTAATATACAAATTACAAGACAAAATGGATTAAAAAAGTGTATTAGATGGTGTGCAAAAATGAAAGTGGACAAACACGGAGGGAGTACTAGGTATAATAGAAATGACTGTTTTGAAATTCACTCTGTTTAAAAAGATTTCCTAATTGGATTATGCTATGTGTACCCCAAGGTTTGTACCCCAATTTGTACCCCGCAGTTTTGTACCAACACTTTGTGTTGGTGTAAAACTAATTTTTGTTAAATGCACCAACATTCGTGTTTGTGTGAATTTTTATTAACGCACAAACACTTGTGTCAGTGTAAACCATCGAAATGTTTGTGCAAACGTGTGCTGTACAAATGAGGTATATGTTTTGGTGTAAGTGTAGCATGGTCCTTTCCTAATTTCACTTAAGATTAATTTCAGTTAGATTTCTCATTTCAGAACACAAATTTCTTAAGGCGCAAGACAGCCAGAGATCAATTTCCCAACTAGGGCTTTGTGAGCAAGAACAAAACCTCAGGGGCCTGACTTCGTTTCCCACCCGCTCATAATCCGATCTTCAATCCTCCAATTACAGTTTCGAGCTAGGTTATTCGAGCCGGAGAAACAACAATGAGCACCGCCGTGAAAGCCGGCGATCTCTGTAAGCTACGACGACTACTCCAATCTCGTCCGTCGTCTATGGCCGCCCGAGCCATCTCGACTGCTTCTTCTCCGCTGCTTGGACGATCATCTATCGTCACCAACCGTCTCTCGCCGGCCAATAGTCTCTCTCCGTTCCTCAACACGGTCACTCGCCATTTCCACAGTGCTCGGGATCCGAGTGCCAGGCATGTTTCCAGTTCATTCTTCCCCATCATACATACACGCCACGATTTTATTAGTTTTATTGATGATGTAAATTACAGGCTATTTCGTAGTTTTTACAATTTCGTTTTCAACATTTGGTTTAGGCACGAGATCGAGCCTCCAATCAACTTTGGAATTCAGATTGTGCCAGAGAAGAAGGCGTTTGTAATTGAGCGTTTCGGGAAGTACATGAAGACATTGACTCCAGGAATTCACTTGCTAGTTCCGTTCGTAGACAGAATTGCCTATGTGCATTCCCTCAAGGAAGAGGCTATTCAAATTCCGGATCAATCGGCCATTACCAAGGACAATGTCAGCATCCTTATTGATGGTGTTCTATACATCAAGGTTACTCTCTTCTAATATCACTTCAAATGTGTGTTCAAAAGTTCAAGCTCCTGTATGCATATATCTGTTTTAGTTTTTGGAACTTGTTTACAGTGCTTCCTCTTGGGGTAATATATTGCAGATAGTGGATCCTAAACTTGCTTCATATGGAGTTGATAATCCATTGTATGCCGTGATTCAACTTGCACAAACAACTATGCGTAGTGAGCTTGGAAAGATAACGCTGGACAAGACTTTTGAGGAAAGGGATACTTTAAATGAAAAGATAGTGGTGAGTTTTCTATTGTGGTTCAGTTTTTATTCTATATATTTTTTTTTCACGGTACAATACCCTAATTACAGCACATGGTGCCACTAGCATGCCATTGGTATTCTTCCTGATTTCTCCTACTCTTTCCTTGATTCCTTAATTGATATGATTACTGCATAACATGTTCAAGCATGCCCGTTTATGTTGTTATATTTTACATATTAGTTATTACTCTGTATTTGGTGTGTCTGCCTGTACCTGTGACGTTAGAGTAGATTTCAATGATACATTCGTGGCTTATTTTCTTTTCCAGAATTGCTCGTAAATGAAATATAAACTTTATGACATGTTTTTCTTTAGAATCACTACATGTCATGATATATCTGATATCTCTGTGTGTGTCCCAG